CTAGATTACGAACGAAATAGACCTACGTAGCTTATTATTATTATGCCACCTGTCACTTTCTTAATTTAAATTACAGGACACGGGTTCATGATAATATGATGTTTTGTGTTTGTAAGAGTGAAATTATATTTTTCTTCTGCAAATCAACCATAATTACTGACAAAAAGGGGCAATAATCATGTACAAAATGTATCAAAACAACTGACCAAAGTACATGCAAAAGGCAAAACTGTCCTCGACCACAGTACCTGTCAGACCACAATGGCACAATGTTTACAAAATCTCATTTATAGTTTTGCCAATCATTTTTGTCTGGACTGGACTGAAATACCCAATTCGAACATGACAACTAATGAAAAAATTATTTGATCTAGATCTAGTCTATTTCATATGTAAATTATTTTACATTATTTTATATTATTGAAAATAATTTGTTTACAATCTAATTCTATCTTTACTAAGAATTGATATGAACATTATCAAGTCTTATCTACAGCCACTACACAAAAGAATAGAGAAAGAAAGTGTAAATCTAGTCAATGAACGATTCCTGTTATTTATGTTTTTTTTTTTCAGAATTAAAATAAAGTAGAAAAACATATCTTACCGTGTGTAAGAAATATAATCATCTGATTTTGACGACGTCCACCGATCTCTAAGAATGGGGATAACCCACTCCTTTGATAAACTCTGGTCCTGCGGGAACGCATGACCACCCCTATTTGAACATTTCGGAACACAGCAAAAAGAGGACGGCATTCTTTGATTACAAAATAATGTCAACAAAGGTAAACAGATGATGGCGCTAAAGGGAGATCATTTGTTAGGTCCGCATTGTTCTGTGGCGCCCTCATGTGGCTTTTGTCTCAGCGATAATGCCCATTAAACAAGATATGAATTAATAAGATTATGTAACAGGTCAGAAAGTCAAATGGTGTTAATATTTGGAATAAACAAAAACCCACTGTTTAATTCCACTGTCAGAATTCCAAACATTGACAGTTTATTCCCATTCATTTTTTATGATATATAAATGCAGACAACGAAAAATAGCGTGGAAGTGGGCTGATCAAAGCTACCATAGGCTTATAATACCTTGTCTAGCAAGCTATCTTTAGATGTAAATAGAGAGCCTAGACTATTGACAGTTGTGGCTTGTGTTTTGGATGATGTTTGATTTAAATGGATCATAAACCATTGTAGGTCTGACATATTTTACATTATACAGGGGACAAGTAAGAATTTCAAAACAATAAAAAAATGCTTATGGTGGGGGGTATTTAAATGTTAAGTACTGCATTCGGAGGTCCAATATTTAATGTCCAAACTATTTTGTTTTAATCAAATTAGACTTACTATGAGCTGAAAGTTGGCATCATTGAATATACAAAAACATAACTTAACTAAACCTTAAAGTTGCTGAGAAAAGTATCTCCGTCATTCATGGGAACTTCAGGTTTCAAATAGCTGTAATTGAATCCACATTCTTCCTTCTATATGCAAAAACTTTAATCTTTTAACAACAACTTGTTTTTGTTTAACAAGTTAAATGTTCACAGCATATATCCAACCTAATAAAACATAGTATTTAGTAATTCTCTAGAAATTAATAACATATTAGAAGATAGCCTAACTTCAAACTTATTTATAAACCTACGACGGCAAATCTCTTTGATGTTGGGGGTTCCATTAAATTGTGTAATGACCTTGGAGTGCTGCCAGGAGGTTTTACAATCTAATCAATACCTTGTAGCCGGTTTTACAAGTCTGAAATGGCAGTTATACATCTGTATCAAAACCCCGTTGCCGGTTTTACAAATGTGAAATGGCAGTATTACATCTGTATCAAAACCCCATAGTAGGTTTTACAATTGCATCAAACTCATACTGTACATCTTGTTAACAAAACAAAATGTTATTGGTTTGACAACAATATATAGAACAACGTTTTGTTTATGAAATATTTACTACAACATTTATATTCTTTGGTCCGTCTGAGAAAGTTTTGGTCACAGGTAATAATGTATCACTACGTTTCGTAGTTTCAACATTTTCATTTGTGCCATTGTCTTGATTCGCTGTTACTTCATTATCACTTGACATTTCTGTGTTCAACTTATTAACATCTTTCGGTTTCTTAACTTCACCATATAGAATATCAGACACTGAAGCTCTTTGATTCTCTGAAGTTCGCATATACAGACGGACAGCATCACTTCGATGTCCTGAAATAAAAACAGAAAGATTGAATTAAAGGTTGCTACAATTGGGTGGTTTTATATTATATAATGCTCATGTCACAGTTAACATATCCACACCATCAGATCATTTCTTAAATATTTATATTATTTCATAACAATACAACAGGTTACGTTACGTGTACTTTTGAAAAAAAAGTACTGGTTAATCTTCATCGGAAACAGATGAAAAATAGATATTATAGTCATTTTAGTAGACCTTCACAGAGTAATAGTGAGTTTGTACTATACGATCAAAATCTTGATGCTGTAAATGTTCTCACCTGTTTGCTTACAAATCAGTTGTTCATCCACGTCATCTTCCATCATCAATATTCGTCTGCTAATATCACATCGACAGTCGTCTGTTTTATATGAAAGTGAAATTGACCGCACGTGAACGTACATTCGTGAGTGGATTTATCACATGACCATTAATTGTAAAACCTTGTAAATTAGGCTATCTAAACGCACAAGCAACATGGGAAATAGATAAACATAATACATGTACACCGTTATGTTCATAGTATACATGATTGAAAGATTACCGAAACATGTTATGTTTAGGTCCATGACAAATATTTGACGGTTTATAAGTCTGATAAAACACGACTACCAGGTTATGCTTGGATTTGTAAAACCGAGAAGGAAGAATATAGAAATTGGTTAGACTTGTACCTCAAAATAAAGAAATTGGTTAGACTTGTACCTCCGATTAATGAATTTAGGTAAGACATGTCATGTACCTCAAAATATAGAACCTGGTTAAGACTTGTACCTCAGATTAAAGAACCCTGGTAAGAAATGTACCTCAGAATAAAGAACCTGGGTAAGACATGTCATGTACCTCAGAATAAAGAACCTGGGTAAGACTTGAACCTCAGAATAAAGAACCTGGGTAAGACTTGTACCTCAGAATAAAGAATCTGGGTAAGAAATGTACCTTAGAATGAAGAACCTGGGTAAAACTTGTACTTCTGATTAAAGAACCTGGGTAAGACTTGTACCTCAGAATAAAGAACCTGGGTAAGACTTGTACCTCAGAATAAAGAACCTGGGTAAGACATGTACCTCAGAATAAAGAACCTGGGTAAGACTTGTACCTCAGAATAAAGAACCTGGGTAAAACTTGTGCCTCATTCTGAGAGGTTATTAATGAATTTGAATCGACTTGCACAATCAAAGAGATTTGCCGTCATAGGTTGATAATATGAATTATTGCCCTTGTCCTTCAAAACCACTTCCATATTTAGTTTATTAATTTTGAATTATTAATTACCACTTAAGAAAGAGACCTATCAAAATAAAAAAAGCAGTGTATGTCTAAAGGTTGGAAGATATTTCATACAGGTGATGGTTACCATTTTTATACGCCCACATGAATATGTGGTCGTATATTGTTGTCACCCCTGTCCGTCAACATTTCTTGTGAGCACTATAGAGACTACAGTTTTTATCTGATTTTGATAAAACTTGGTGTGATGCTTTAGATTGATAAGATCTCGGTCAAGTTCGAATTTGACATATTTTCGATGAAGGTTTTTTGAGATATTGCCCTTGACTTAGAACGCCTTGAAATTTGTTAAAAATTGTTCGTGAACAGGATGGAAGCTACAGTTTTCATCAAATTCTGATGAAACTTGATGTGATCTTTAGAATTCATAAGATCTCGGACAAGTTCTAATTTGACGCATTTTCGATGAACATTTTTTGAGTTATTGCCCTTGACTTTGTTAAAACGCGTCGAAATTTGTTAAAAATTGTTCGTGAGCAGGATTGACTCTACAGTTTTCAACCGATTCTGATGAAACTTGGTGTGATCATTGGAATTGATAAGATCTCGGACAAGTTTTAAGTTGACGTATTTTCGATGAACGGTTTTTGAGTTATTGCCCTTGACTTTGTTAAAATGCGTCGAAATTTGTTAAAAATAGTTTGTGAGCAGGATTGACGCTACAGTTTTCAACCGATTCTGATGAAACTTGTTGTGATCATTGGAATTGATAAGATCTCGGACAAGTTCTAACTTGATGCATTTTTGATGAACGGTTTTTGAGTTATTGCCCTTGACTTAGTTAAAATGCGTCGAAATTTGTTAAAAATAGTTTGTGAGCAGGATTGACGCTACAGTTTTCAACCGATTCTGATGAAACTTGTTGTGATCATTGGAATTGATAAGATCTCGGACAAGTTCTAACATTTTTGATGAACATTTTTTGAGTTATTGCCCTTGACTTTGTAAACACGCGTCAAAAGTTGTTTTTTGCCCTTGATTAGAGCTGTGTGATTTAATTGTTTGTTGTATTTGGGTTATTGATGAAATTAAATATATTACATTCGAATGTTCACATGTTAGATGTTCCTGGATCGGGTACCTTTTATTCGTAGAGTTGCTTACAAAATAATGAGTTTCTGATATAAAGGGATTTTAAAAAATTTGGTGGAATTATTCAGCATAAATAATTTCTTCAATATGAAAAAATTCATACCTTAATCACTAAAGACTGTTTTATCAATTCTGACAGCTGCCAGTGGGCGTATGTTACCTTGCATTGCAAGCTATCTTACCAAATGTTCTTATTTGAAAACATGTCAGTGGGGTATATTACCTTGTCTGACAAGATATAGACGAGATATCATGTGATTTCATCATTTGCCAATGTTCCAAAGATGAAAATGTTTAAAAAAAAAAAAACTGAAAAGGAGTCTTATTTTTCATTCTTCTTTCTTTGTCAGACTACTGGTACAACACCAATTGATCAAATGAAGCAGGGTATGACATTAGAAATTCAGGATTTAGCTCAACCAAACCTCCTGTGGTTAGTTAAAATAATAGAGAATGTTGGTGGAAGATTGTATTTAAGATATGTAGGTGTAGAATCTGGTACCATGGATTTCTGGTTATTTTATTTAGATGTTAGATTGCATCCTATTGGTTGGTGCAAAGAAAGAAATTACACTTATAAACCTCCTAAGTGTAAGTAACTTGATACTAAATCTAAAAAAAACGCAGATAATGCTGGACATGGATTTGAAGGCTGATTTGAAAGTGAGCTGTGAACACTATTACTGATTATCTTAACTAAAATATTCTGAGACTAAGGTTTGATTGGTCAATAAAATGCTGAACCTTTCTAATCTAATATCAGGTAACTTCTGCCAGATTTTAAATTTGTTATTACATATAAGTGTCTTTTTAATCTGTTTACAGTTTTAGTAAACAGTGAGTATAGAACTGATAATTTAGATATATCCCTCACTGAGGCTTTAGAAGAGGCTGAAAAACAAATCCTGCCTCTTGATATATTTAAGGTAGGTGTCTTATTGTAAAGCATTTTTATACTCCCACATGAATATGTGGTCGTATATTTTCGTCGCCCCTGTCCGTCGGTCCATTCATCAACATTTCTTGTGAGCACTATAGAGACTACAGTTTTCATCTGATTTTGATAAAACTTGGGGTGATGCTTTAGATTGATAAGATCTCGGTCAAGTTCGAATTTGACATATTTTGGTTGAACGGTTTTGAGATATTGCCCTTTGACTTAGAACGCCTTGAAATTTGTTAAAAATTGTTCGTGAGCAGGATTGAAGCTACAGTTTTCATCCGATTCTGATGAAACTTGGTATGATCATTGGAATTGATAAGATCTCGGACAAGTTCTAACTTGACGCATTTTCGATGAACCGTTTTTGAGTTATTGCCCTTGACTTTGTTAAAACGCGTCGAAATTTGTTAAAAATAGTTCGTGAGCAGGATTGAAGCTACAGTTTTCAACCGATTCTGATGAAACTTGGTGTGATCATTGGAATTGATAAGATCTAGGACAAGTTCTAACTTGACACATTTTTGATAACCAGTTTTTGAGTTATTGCCCTTGTCTTTGTAAAAACGTGTCAATATTTGTTAAAAATAGTTCGTGAGCAGGATTGAAGCTACAGTTTTCAACCGATTCTGATGAAACTTGGTGTGATCATTGGAATCGATAAGATCTCGGACAAGTTCTAACTTGACACATTTTTGATGAACGGTTTTTGAGTTATTGCCCTTGACTTTGTAAAAACGCGTCAAAATTTGTTCGTGAGCACAATAGAAGCTACAGTTTTGCAACCGATTCTGATGACGATATTGTCGTCGCCCCTGTCCGTCAGTCCACCGGTCCGTCGGTCAACATTTCTTGTGAGCACTATAGAGACTACAGTTTTTATCTGATTTTGATAAAACTTGGTGTGATGCTTTAGGTTGATAAGATCTCGGTCAAGTTCGAATTTGACATATTTTCGATGAATGGTTTTTGAGATATTGCCCTTGACTTAGAACGCCTTGAAATTTGTTAAAAATAGTTCGTGAGCAGGATTGAAGCTACAGTTTTCATCCGATTCAGATGAAACTTGGTGTGATCATTGGAATTCATAAGATCTCGGACAAGTTCTAACTTGATGCATTTTCGATGAAATGTTTTTGAGTTAATGCCATTAACTTACGAAAAACGCGTTAAAAGTTGTTTTTTGCCCTTGATTAGAGCTGTGTGATTTAATTGTTTGTTGTATTTTGGTTATTGATATTGATTTTAAAAAATTTTGTGGAATTATTCAGCATGAATAATTTCTTCAATATGAGAAAATTCGTACTTTAGTCACTAAAGACTGTTTTATTTTTTCTGACAGCTGCCAGTGGGCGTATGTTACCTTGCATCGCAAGCTATCTTTAACTCTGAAGAGCTCTGTCACGTGACCTAATTAACATACGACAAACTTTCTTATATATTCTTAGAGTGCATGATCTTTCTTTTTAGTGATATATCACACTTGATATTTTGATCAAAATTGCGCTTTTGAAATTTAAATTTTGTACTGACTTCTATAGTAAGTAAATTCACAGTGTCTATAATCTATCGACAGTAACCTTTGCCTTAAAAAACGTATATCTACAGATATCTCATGATCTTATGATTGTAAACGCATGAAATTTTGAACATTATGTAACAATGTACACCTCATCATAGACAAATCAAAATTTTTGAAGTGGGCGTGTCACATCCGGTGTGCATTTACCTTTACCTGAAATATTTGCAATTGTCATAACTTGCAAAGTTTACAATTGTCACCCTAGAAATTTTGCATGAAAATAGATCACTACTTCGGACAATTTGTGATAAAATTACAGTTGTTTGCGTTCTTTACTTTTAAGAAGGAAATAGGTTTTTAAAAATTTTCATTTTTGAACTTTAACATAAATGACCTTGACCTTTGCATGGTCAAAGGTCATTGATCTTAGATGACCATTCTTACTTTGATTTTTGATGTCCGATATATACTTCCGATGTTGCAGCAATTTTCGAAACTTCAAAGGCTCATATTACTTTTATTTGACCTTTGTTGACCTTTTGACCTGAACAAAAGTTGTTGCCCATATATGAGATGTATCCGATAATATCTTCACTTTTGTTGTGCATCGTTAACTTTCGGTTCTACAGCCAAATGAAAATCGCGATGTTTAACTTTGAAGAGCTCTGTCATGTGACTTAATTTACATACGTGAAAATTTCTCTTATGTCCTTATTACACGTAATCTATTCTATCAAATGATATATAACACTTGGTATTTTGATAAAAAATTGCTCTTTTTAGATTTTGAAATTTTGGTAGTTCTGTAGTAACTGTGCGTAATTTAACGGTGTCTATAATCCACCGACAGTCACCGTTGCCTTAAAAAAAATATAAATATGTATATCTCGTGATCTAATGATTGTAAGCACTTGAAATTTTTAACATTCTACACATCATAACAGACATAACAAATTTTTGAAGTTTCATTCATCTTTACCTTAAATATTTGCAGTTGTTATAACTCGCAAAGTTTGCATTTGTAGAAGTTTTTCATAACAATAACTCGCTGCTTGGGACATTTAGTGATAAAGTTACATTTGTTTGGACCTTTTACTATAAAAAAGGGAGTAGGTTTTACAATTTAATAAATTTTGCTATTTTGACCATTGGCATGCATGACCTTGATGTTTGCAAGGTCAAAGGACAATAATCTAGGATGTCCTTTCATACTTTGATCTTTGACGTCCGACATATACTTCCACTTTTTCATACGTTCCAAAACAGCAATTTCTAACACTTTTTTAAAAGCCTTAAAAGGCTTATATCTCTTTATTTGACCTTTGTTGACCTCTTGACCGTAACACAAGTTATTGTATTTGACGAGACCTTTCTAAAAATATTTTCATTTGTGTTGTGCGGTTTGTTCTTTTAACTTTACAGCTACTTGAAAATTCGACTTTTTACTACCGAATGTTAACACCTTTTAGTACCGAATGGTATCAAATTCATGCGTCTTTTCACTACCGAACGGTAAATGGTTTAAACGATGCTTTGATTATTGAATGTTTACATGCCTTTCTTTTTGGTAATAAATCCCATTGTGACTTTAAAATGCAACGTTTTATCGCTGTATCAGGTTGGATGCGCACTTCTTCGGTACCGTTATCATAGTTCTACCATGTCTTTGTAACAAGATGTATCGAATTTTGAGTTATAATTCACAAATGTCTACAAAGATCATACAGTTAATTACAATATATAATTCAAACCATTTATAAGCTGTTATAATAGGGTGACTTCGATTGAATCTTTGTGGTCGAGCTAGAGTTGATGGAGAAATGACGCAATTATCTTCAGTGCGCAAGCCTAGTGAAGGTCACAATCGAATTTGATCGAGTAATGTCAATATGGCGGGACTTTTGATCATGTATAGACATTCCATGCTACCATGTATACTCATATTTGACTCTCCAAATAATGAGTGTCGTACCCGAGCTTCTAACTAAATATTACGGCACATGAGTCTAAAGCTTAGAAAATATTACAGTTCAGTTGTGACTCGAATGACTTGAGTCTAACCTGGGCTCCAATCGAAGTCATGTCCCTAAGAGTGACAGGTTTTTCTGATTTTTATATGCCCACATTATAACGTGGTTGTATTTTGTCATTGCCTCTGTCCGTCGGACCACAATTGGTTTGTGAACACAATAGAGGCTACAGTTGTGGGACTTTGCTACTGCTACATTTGCAAAGTCCCACTCTGTGCCACGTGTGGCTCTAGTTGTGGGACTTTGCTTTCAGTAAAGTCCCAGTTTGTTATCGAAATGTCCATCCTTTTTTTTTTTCCAAATTTACACACCTTCCTGAGCTTAGACTGCAGTAGTTGCAGCAACCATTCAACTTCTCTAGACCTTCTGTAGTGGCAACGTGTTCCTTAAATATATATTGGAACATTTTTGCAAAACCGGAAGTGCCACAGTTCAACATGTACAAAAAGTCGAAAATCGGCTCTAGAAGGCGTATTTTTGCATCGATTTTCTTCGGGTTTTCATTTTTACAATCTACCTGTAATTTCTGACCTGATAGCACTTGAAAAATTACGAAATTCGAAAATTCGTCGCTCACTTTTTTCGATCAAATTTTTCAATTTTTTTGCAACTTTTTTGTTTTTGCATCGATTGAGCTGAAATTTAATATGCAAAGGGGCATCACTAAAGTTAATAATATGTAGTTGTCAAACATTTAACTTTACTTCCGGTTTTAAACGGGGAATCAATTGAAAGTACAATCCACTTCCGGTGTAATTGAAATAGGTCAACGAAATTTATGCAGATCAAATGTAAATGCTATTATAAAAAAACGAAGATAAAAAAATCCAGATACTTTGGCCGCCATATTGAAAAAACACACTTTTGTAAAACTCAAATGGGGCCTCCGGGTGAATGTTGATATGCTCAAATTTGATGTGAATGTATTCCGCAATCGATTGCGCAAAAAACATTGGGAGCCGAATTTTGAATTTCGCTTTTGCTTTTTGCAACTTCCGGTTGGAATTTGAACGATCTAAACGATCACACCATGTGACCTTGACCTTTGATGACCTTCATAGGGTCAAAGGTCATTGACCTTGGCTATCATTTGATACTTTGACCTTTGACCTCCGACATGTACTTCCGGTTTTATAGCTATCCATAAAAAAGCCAAATTCGCAACTTTGGACTGCTCTAGCACGTGACCTAATTAAGCTAGAGGGTTAATTTTTTCGGTTTCCTAATGTTCTTCTCATGCCCTTTACATAGATATAGAACAATTGCTTTTTTAAAGCAAAATTGAAATTCGTGATTTTTTCAAATTTGAGTTTTGTTTTACCATATTTGTGTCTTTTTGATCTTGGTGTATGTATATCTTATGACCTATTTTATGTAGAACCTTGATATTTGGAATACAACTAGACACTTTGAATATGATTTCACCTATGACAA